CATAAAAAATGACTAGTATATAGAATACAACATACAAAAATGAGAAAGAAAGTTCAAGTAGATCTTTTGTTATTATAATGATCTTCGTGAATATCCCTGCTATTTTTGTAGCCAATTATACAGAGTGGTCAATTATAAAAATGTTACATACAGAATGTTCACGATTATTATTTGTAATGATACGGAAACATGTTAGATACAAAATTTTCACGATATAAGCAACGTCCTATTCAACATTATACTATAATTTTTGCATCCAAATATAACCTTATTTGGATCATGCAAATATTATTGCATATTTTTATAAATCGTGGAAATATTCAAGGTGGTCGCAGTTATCGCCGCACCCTGTATAACCGTAAATCTCGGAAATTGGAGATCTCCTTCGAAGGGGAAACCACAGAAGATTCTCCGTCCGGTAGATGGCGAAAGTTTCTCGCTGTTAAAAATGCGAGCGGAGGGCCATATCTACCCAGTGAAGTGACTGCTTCATTACGCTGGTTCCCCTTCAAATAACGCATAAATCTTTCGCCTTTTACTAAAGATTTCCGTGGAGGTGAACGATTGATGCGTCTACTGTAACAATTTTTCGTTAGCACCCGACGCAAGTCGGGTCATTTATTCAATGAAAACAAACGTTTTTCAGCTTTGATCTGTTCGACTGGTTCGAATACTCTCTTAATTTATAGGAGACGAATATTATTGTGATCATAAAAGAACGACAGTTTTATTCACTATATTCTCACATATATTATATTATTCACTCTATATTTCTATACTTCCCTTAATGATCATAGTTGCACATTTCATGCATCTTTATAATTCCTTTCGCTCTCTACCACATTTCTCTGTTTTTTATATTATTAAATTTTTTAAATGCGTAAGTATTTTCTGTTTTCCATATCTCGATATTTCCATGCTGAATTTTGGAACGTTTCCAGACTGGTACGATTTCATATTTCTTTATTATTGTGATATATTCTCCCCCCCCCCCTCTATTTATTATTTCCAGGCATTCGAAGTAACATCTGCTTGAAAAAATCTGCAAAATCCTGTTGATTATTCGAGTTGAAGCTATTGATCGCGAAATGTAGAAGAAATTGTTCAAAATACCACATAATAATAATAACTATTATTATTAATATCTATTATATATATTATATAATAATGATGGTAACAATAATATAATATTAATAATATAATAATAGTAAGTAATAATAATAATTATTATTACTAATTAATATTATTAATATATACCATATATATATAATAATAACAATAATATAGTATTATCAATAATAGTAGTAATGAATAATAACAATCGTTGAAACAACTTTCTCAATAGCGAATTATGGCAGCCACGATCCCCGGTCATTTCTACAAGGAGAGTAACGTGGATATGTGTGTGTGTGTGTGTGTATCGCGTCCAAAGCCGCGGCTCGTGTTTTCTCGTCCCTGGCGTGACATAAAGTAAATGAGGTAAACCGTTTAAACGATTAACGAGACTTTATTCGGAGACACAGAGGAGCACGTCCGCAATGTTCATTACGGTGCCGCATTCATGCCGCTATCATACTTATTAACACTTTATTTGACGGTATTGGAGCAGACCCGTGTTTCCGATCTTGATAGTTCGCAGAATATGCATCATTCAGCTTTTCGCCGGGTGTCCTCTCTATTTATACGCGGGAATATACGTACAGCTCGTTGTTTTGTTTCACGTGACACAGAATATTCGCCCCCTCCCCGCAAATGTATGCATTTGTCAACACGAACGGAACAGCGTAAATTCAAAAATCAACGCGACGCGTGACACGATATACAATTCGCCGCACGAGATGCGCCCCCGCCGCTTGAAAATATTTAATTGCTTGCGCACTTGTCGATCCGACGAGCAACGGACTTATTAAAGTCGCCGCTAACAATCGTTCCTCTTTTTCTCCTAACAATCGTGATTTTTTGCCGACGTTCTCTTTCCCTCTGGCGTTTCGACGCCGAATAAATACCTGGTTTGTCCATTTCGTGTTTTTTCTTGCTATTTCTTAATCAAACATTTTCGCGAGCCTATGTTTATATGGCATTTTTTATGCGCTGATAACGTCGGCCGTGAAATACTGAAACACTCTGTATATTCTGTGCGATTTATATCGTGTTTTTGTGCTAGAAATTTTCCTCTCCGTTCTATCAATAATTTCATTGCTCGAATGGTTCGACGTTGCAAGTTGTACATATTTGCGTCCTATGCCCAGTTTTGTCGCAATTCTTTATTGATCATCACTAGTGACTTTCTAAATGTGACTATAGTTATTGTATAAAATTTTTGCGCGATCGTATTGACTATATAAATTTTGTATGAGTTCGAATTCTGGCATGTTGCTGTCTGTGCAATTTGCAATACAGTAAGTTCTCTTGGATTATTCTTGGGTTTGTTAATAAAAATGGACAATTTGGCAATAGACGACAATAAAAACGAGTTGCGAGACTCGAATAATCGTATCCTCTGGTCCAAAATTGTCCATTTCTGTTTGCAAGCCGAGGGACGATCGCAGAGAATTTTCTCTATTATATTTAATTATATCACATTAAATTATATTTAATTGTGCACGAGCAACAATAAGTTGGTATGTGCCTGCTTGCATGTGTTTCGTTGTAACTGAAAAAAACAATCGTGACGTTGTAACTGAAAAAACGCGTACCACATCGAACAAAAGATCAACATGGAATATTTATGCAATGAATAAATCATGTACAAAGCACCGTATAAAATATGACGTGAATAAAACGTGTTAAAAAGGCTGTATAAAAGTAAACGAAACGGGGTAAAGTACCACATAAAAGTAAGTGGAATGCAAGAGTTGAAGAACTGTGTAGAAGTTCATTGTATAACAAAGTGCGATACATAAATATAAAATGCAAGCATCGTTTGAACTGCAAACTTTACGTTATCGTTTTAACTGCTGAAACGAATTCTGTTCAACTTGATTCGGTAAATCATTAAATCACCATAGATGAGCGAGAGAAGCGCACTGAGAAAAAGAGGCTGTTACTTCGACAATTCTTAAGATCTTGCAGCAAAAAGTTACCATAAATTTCAAAATTTATACACCCCTAAACAATGTTCTTCTTTCTTATTGCACTCTTTAATATTTTATAAAATTGTAATAACATAATGTGACATAACCTGAAATTGTAATGGCATAACCTTGACATAACTAGATACTATGACAATTATATTTTAAGATAATATTTATTCAATGTTATTGCTGTCAACATTTATCTTTAAAATATTACAGTATTATCGTTTCGAAATGATACTTTAACAATTATATTTTAATATAATATTTATTCATAATTATTGTAGGCAGAATTTAACATTTAAATATTACGTTAATATCATTTCGCAGTCATTCTAATATGTTTATATTTACTGATAATTGTTGCACTCTCTAATATGTTTATACTTTAAGTTAATATTTACTTATAATTGTTGCACTCGTAATTTAACATTAAAATATTAAACTACATTCATTTTAGTGTCACACTATTACGATCTCATTTTTATTCAATACTTATTCATAATTATTGCACCCA